GCAGGAATACAGATTAGAAAATTAAAAGCTAAAATGTAGAAAGGCGTACAAGTCTTGCACATAGCTGGTTAGGTCCACTTTGGCAAAAAATATTTTCTTTAATAAAAAGGAAAATAAGAGACTAAGAAACTCAAACCTCAGAAGAATTAGAATTGAAATACACTCTTTTATTCATGGCAGTACCTCAGACAGTCTCTCTTTCTCCCATGGAGAAAAGATCCTGCAAAAGTGTGACACTCCCATTTATACAGAAGAAAATATCAGGTTTTTTTCTACCACCAAACTATCTTTACATTATCAGTAGAGTTAATTAAGTTTACAGGTAAAGATAGCTTGTTACCTTCATACTTCTGTTCTTTGTAATGCTGGACAAGTGACAAGGAAACTAAAATACCCAACTACTTTCCAGCGTGCTAAGGACTGCCCATGAAAAGTACCCAAGAGGAGTGATTGCTGAGCAGTTTGACATATAGAAGGGTTTTTCTGCTTTACTGGGGCCAGCAGGACCAGGGAAGTCATCCTTCCCCTCTACTCAGCCTTGGTGAGGCTGCACCTGGAATACTATATCCAGTTTTGGGCCCCTCACTCCAAGAAGGACATGGAGGTGCTGGAGTGTGTCCAACATTTGAGCTTTCTAATGATTTCCTACAGTTTGATTCCAATAATAATGGTAATTCTGAGGATGGTTAATAGTTCTTCAGAATAGTATACTCTTAATTTTACAAATAAAATAAGAAAGAAAACCTTTTAATAACACACATAGCATTGTTGGGGGATGTTGGGGGATGGAGAAAACAATACATTGGCTATTCCCAGAAGAATTATTGAATTGGGTCTCATTTTTATTCAGTCTTTGCTCAGGCAAACTCCCAAAAAAGTTTTAAATTGCCCAAGATGAAATTTCAGCTTTGTAATGATAAAAGCAGAACACAAGGACAGACTGTCACTACACAAAAATTTACTCTCACAAGTAGTTCACTGAATTTAGTACTGTTGTATACACAGTCACTGATAACCAAAGATAATTGCAGAAAGTCACAGTTTTATACAAAATGAGCTCACTCCTTGACTTAACCAGGAAGACTGGCAAGAAGAAACAAGCAATGAAAATAGGACGGAATGATGCATCCACTGCAAAACACCTTACTCTATTACAGAGTAGTTCATCTTTTATTTCGGGTTGAAAGAGATGGCATAATCATGATACCAACGATAATTTTCTATATAAGAAATTATTAAAAATTAAATTTCATCACAAATTTATTCCATTCAAATAACTGCCTATTGCCTTGAATACTCTACAGCATAAATAAATGCATGAAGAGCTCAGCTAATTTTCTCTCTCCTGTCTCTGGGTACTTTTGATCATATGCAGTTTCTTTTTGATTTTCCTTAGGTTTGAGATACAACAGGCAAGGAAAGTACATCCATCCCTCTGAGGCAACTGCGAAAGACTGTGTGTGTCAGGATACATCTATGTAAACACCAACAGTTTGGGAAACTGGAGAGGGAACTAAATGCCAGTGCTTTTGTCCTCTTTTTCCCCAGCGAGAAATGGTAGCACTCATCCCCTGCTATAGGTGGGATTTTCTGGCATCTTTCCACTGCAGCTAAATGTTTTTCCCTTGGTGAAACAGCAAATCACTTCTGTTGCCTGAAAGACGGTACTGACACAGTTGGATAAAAAAGCTTTTTTTTTTTGTAGAGCTCCTCTAATAGTCTAGAAAAGGTTGTTTGTCAAAACTAGCCTATGATACACCAAAAAAAGTGTTATGAATAGTATAGGAGCATTTCACTGATAAATATTACAATCATCTTATATAATACTGATTAGATAATCAGTAACTTCTCTGTTCCAATTATCTAAATAGTGTTTTCTCACAATTTGTCCAATTTTTAGTGTGCCTAGCATATGGAGCAAATTTTATTAACAGAGCCCTACCCACAGGAATATGTTCTAGCTGTCTTTAGCCATTTTCATCACATTCTGCCAGTGTTAACAAGCTTTCCTACAATATTAGTATCTTATTCAGGTTTCCTCTTTATCTGGAATTCCTTTCTTACCTTCCCTTGTGAACCTATGTGATGGAAAGCTGATACACAATACAGACAAAAATTGCTTAATTTAGTCAGGGATTAACAAAGACAAACCAAAATATTAATAATTATAAGGGAGACGTTATCATTCTCTACAACTACTGAAAGGAAGTTGTAGCAAGACAGGGGTCGTACTCTCCTCTCAAGTAACAAGTGACAAGACAAGAGGAAATGGCCTCGAGTTGAGCCAGGGGAGGTTTACATTGGGTATCAGGAAAAATTTCTTCACCAAAAAAGTTGTCAAGCATTGGAATAGGCTGCCCAGGGAAATGGTGGAGTCATAATCTCTGGAGGTATTTAAAAGACCTGTAGATGTGATGTTTAGAGACATGGTTTAGTAGTGGACTTGGTAGTATTAGGTTTTTGGTTGGACTCCATGATCTTAAAAGGTCCTTTCCAACCTGAATGACTCTGATTCTGAATTTAGAAGACATGAAAAAAATTAACAGTCATGAAAAATTCCTTACTTCCCTTCCACATTCCTTTTTTCTTGGGGTATTTCCCTACTTTTTTCCCACCTGCCCATGCATTGCCACAAGAGGACATGGTGCATGGGAGCTCTAAAACATGACCAAACTGCTCCTGCTGACAACTTGATGTCTTGTATGTTCACACTCAGGGTGCAAATATAATTAAAAACACACGAGGTATTCAAGGAAACTGAGCATCACGTAACTTCTTTCATGGGCTTTTGTGCTTTGGAAAGCACAGAGATGTGTGAATTGACAGAGCTCCACCTCCTTATTTTGATGAATTTAGGAGACTTGCTCAGTTTTATGGAGGAAACTTCTGTCAGAAGAGAACCCTTGATTTCTAGGTGCATAGTCAATACAGGGTATTATTAGGGCAGCACTATCAAAGACGCTGGACCCATGGCCGAAGCAGTTGGTTATCTAACTTGGAATGAGCAAGGTGACACCAATAATGGGTGAAGAATTAATTTACAGGGAACTGCAAAAAATAAGTCATGTCCTACAGGAAGAAAACATGCATGGAAAAGCCTCTGCAACTTGAGGAACAGCTTTGTTTTGAGAGCCTTGCGTGTGATGAATAAAATGTACCAGAAGAAAGAAATGTCAGTTCTTTCTGAGCTAAAAAGACGGGTCAGCAGCTTATCAAAAGCTATTAGTTCTTTTAGTCCAATTACATTTCGAATAAACACACCCTATTCCCATTGTGTTTCTCAATGAATGATTCTGATATTTTCTTTCAGGAATAAACTGCATCAGCTACTGCAGGCAATTAACTCAATAAATGACTACCAGGAAGAAGCACTGATGCTGTTTCCATGCTAATCCAAGACCTTTTATTAATAAATCCACTTTAGATACCCCACAGTTGCATTTGAAGGGTTACCCTGATGCTGTCTGTGTATCCAGACATTTTTGTTTCTTTTTGCCTAATTCTACTCACTAAAGACAGGTATTATATCAAAAGCAAAGATATCCAAAGGAAATAACATTTCTCAGTCTTGGCACAGGTAGCCATGTCAATATCAACTGAGAAAGACTCTTACCTGGCAAAGGACACCCTAAGATTTCCAGTCTCATACAGATGCTACCTTCTTCAAACCAGGACCGGGGATTTATACGGATATAACGTGCAACCAGCGGCACCGGCAACATATTGAGAACTGGGATCTCTTTTTCACTGTTTCCTTCAAAAATCTATGTAGGCCAAACATATGGAAATGGCAAGATCAGTTCTTCAAAAAGTCTTTTAGCACTTTTGGTAATAGAAACAAATAAAGACACCTGATACAGCCCCAAGTTGGTGTTGGCTCAGGCATGAACTGCTCTTCAAAGAGCACAATCTCCCCATGCTCCTCAGAGGGTGGCAAAGGAGCTAGAGCTCCACACGCTCTCTCCAACAAAGGGCACCCCATGGGCATGACTTGCCCCCAGGGACCAGCAGACTGACACTAACCCATGCACAAACCATACAACAAGGAACATGTCTCATCACAGGCAAGACCACTGCTAGGATGGTAGCCACATCCATAGGCAAACACATGCAGATTTGTCACATAGGATGTTCTAGGTTCTTCTCTATATTATGCGATTTGCTAGGATGGTAGCCACATCCATAGGCAAACACAGATTTATCACATAGGATGTTCTAGGTTCTTCTCTGTATTATGCGATTTGTTCTTAAAATTAGTGGGACTACTGAGAGACATTGCCTTGTAGTCTTAAACTGACTAATTTGGGAAATTAAAACTGCACATGGACAGTCCTCACTTTCCCACCTCTGCTCATCTTCATAAAACTTCTGTTTCATGATACTCACCACATCTCCAGATTCATTTCTGACAGCAGTCCATGCATGGCTGTCATTGCTCACCAATACTCTGTAAGAGGTCACCCAGTTACTCCTTGAAAAAGATAAAGAGTATCTAAGTTATTTTTTTTTCATAACTTAGAATGACTGCAAATTGTTTAATAAAACTTGTAAGACTGCTAGCAATGGAAATCCCAGTTGACAGTCATGTCAACGCATGGCTGAAAAAGTGATATGCAAATTTAGATTCAACAGATAATTAAAAAAGCCTAGCACACAGAAGAAAAAAAAACCCAACAAGATAACATTCTCGGGTTCCAGGAAGTGAGGGATTACTGCTCTCCTTTCCTTTTGTACACAGATTTTGGGATAAATGTCTTACCTAGAACAGATGCATCCAGTGTTCAAAAAAATCTTACTGTTCAGCCACAGAACATTCATTACTTCTGCTGTTTTTATCAGAGAGGATGGAAAAAAAATAATAAATCCTCTAGGATGAAAAGTCCATGAATTTCAACCAGCAAAATTTCCATTTCTTCCAATACAAGAATGACTGGAGCCTGCAGTCATTCCTGTATTTATTAGCAATAGATAGGAACAAAGAGACTACGCTGTCTCTGCACAGCAGAGTCCAATTGATCACAGTACTAGTGTGTTGCTATGATATCTAGATCAATCTTCAGGAGGCTGATCTTTTTAGTGGCCTGATATCTGTTTTACAGCAAAATTCAGTTTAATCTAGAAAAGCTAAATCTTAATCCATACTTAAATCATGCTTTGTCTGTATTTAGCTAAAGAAAAGTAGGAGGAGAAATAAAATGCTGCTTCTTATGTTCTGAGAGGAGTTAAAGGTCTGTAGCTTTTACACTGTCTAGGCATTCCCCATGGAAATGTGTGTACAGCTACAGAGAAGGTAATGCCCTGACTCTCCTCTCATATTCGTTGGTCCAAAAGAGAAACAGTGGGGTTTTGGGTTTTTTTTCCCCCCCTCTAACATCTTCCTGGTTTCAACAGGCAGTGACTTGGAGGACAGTTGTGGCTTAGAGGTATTGGTATCTTTGTACCAATGTCAGTCCAGGATTATTAAATTCTATTTTCATGTATATAAACTGATTGTGTGTAGCAATCAGCCCTTTAGAGGAGTCATTCTTGAACATGGGTTCTTAGCTAAGCACACACTGGGAGTGAAACCTGGGTAAGGAAAGCTGTGGGACAAGAAAGAATAGGAGCAATTTGGGCAGTTATGGGAGAAGCAGCAGAGCATATAGATCAGATATAAGGGAGTATCTGGAAGGACAGATGTATTAAAGAAAAACTTCCTCTTATACTGCACCCATACAAATACAATTTGCTTTCCTTTTATTTCTTTTAAAGTCAACAAATAATATTAGCAAACTATCTGTGAACACACAGCTTGACTTCACTCTGCTTATGTTTAAAGGGACAACCTAGCTTTTGTATGCTCACTAAAAGAGAGTCAGACTTCTAGTGAAGACCAAAAAAGTGGTGGGGGGGGAACAAGAGCAAATTCATCAGTCACAAGATCAGCACAAGTTCACCCAGCTTCGTCTTGTACAAAATAGTGATCTTCAAATGCCTATGTCAATGCACGGCAGCAGAAAATTGATAACTTTAGATTTTAATCTGCTATTTCATTTGCTGAGTAACAGTGGTCCCACTTAAATAAAAGGTTTAAGTTGATGTTGAGACTTACAATGATGCACTAAAGCAAAGTTTAGGCAAGTGTTGAGCAGGATTTAGAAAAGCACTGTATATAGTTCACTAATACCCTCAAAAGTCAAAGATAATGTGATTTTGAAAAAATTACTACACAACCCAACTGTTTCACACATTAAACCAGCCCTTTGCAAGTCTTTCACCACCCCTCTTCTATGAATAGATTTTGCCATTTATGTTGTTTTAAATGGAAAAAATCTTGACTATTGTCAAGCAGGGTGTACTTTTTATTATTGTATTGAAAAGATGAATACATCAGCCACCTGTAATGCACACACTACTTAACATTTTTTTTAATAGGTTAGCAGCCTTCTGAAAATACTAACTGTCTACTAGTCAGTGGAAAAACCTCCTGGGTAGGGGATTTGACAGAGATCTGTTAAGTGCCATGTTGGCATCTCCAGTCTCAATGGCTGAAAAATGTTAGCAACAAAATAGACAGTGAATTCAGCACGCTATATAAGTTTCCGCTAACTTTTGTAAAGAACTTCACTTTCTTCCTTCAGCTTCTGCAATAACCTGGCAGTTGCACCACAAAATTTCACTGTGATCATAACTTGAAGGAAGACAAATTTACATCTAGCAAAGATGGATAATAAGAATTTTGGAAGTGACCAACATCAAAACTCCAGGAAGAGCAAAAATAACTTTTTCTGATTGAAAAAGAAACCAAGTTTGGGAGTAAAACTCAGGGGTTTCAATGGGGGTGGTGGTGTAAATATTCAGTGCACATAAAACTGTGGTGTGGGGGGTTTCGGTGTTTTTTTTGTTTTGTTGGGTTTTGGGGGGTGTTGGGGGGTTATATTCTTGACCATTTTTCAAAATCAGAGTAAATGTCCAAAAAAGGCAATGTTACAAACCAAAAAGACATCATTGCTTCTGAAGTATTACTGAAGTTTTTTTACTTCAACTGCACAAATAAAATTGAGGACAAACACAATACATACATATTCACTACTCTACACCTGAGAAAAAAATTGTTGAACAAAATATTGTAACTACATGAAAACAAGATAACAGTGGACATTCTGTATAACAGAATTTTGTAAGAAAATCTTGGCATCTATAGACAGTTTTTAAAAGAATTTTCTCATTTTATTGGCATATGAGAATTTTGTTGTTAAACTAATACTTCCAATCTAGACTTTTATTTACCAAATTTTAATTTTCTCACTCCCTACAGTTCCAAAGGTTCCAACTTCTCCCAAAAGAAAATTAATACTAATCAGCTTTACACATATTCCATCTTGAGTGAGAAAAAGTAACATGCTTTTCAGAGGCAGCCTGCCAATTAAAATACAAATGGGACTACATCCAGTTTTGTACATTTGCAGTATAGAAGGACTACAGAGGGTCATGGGATGAGATAAATCAGCATGATATATTAGGTCACACAGCACATGCTATTAACTGTGCTCGTCTGTAAGGAATAAACATCCACTTTGCATTTGTTGAGATGAAAAATAAAACAATCACAGGTGACCAGATTCTTCTCCCACTGGTCCTAAATGAAAAAATGCCTCTTTGGGTTTATTTTCTCCCTTTTTTCCAACCTCATAAGGAAAATGGCTTTTACCAATATTAAGAGGACTGCTGTAAATTCAGATTCCTCTCCAAAATGGCATTTTCTGCCTTGAAATCATTTTCCCCACAGTGGGGAAGGGGAACACCATGTACATTTATGTATTCAGAGAATCTGGAAAACTAGCAGAAGCTAATGCTCAGGGCTTCAAACCATGCAGCTGAGTGTCTATAAATCCCAGACATTTCTACAGATATAGACGAGCAGAGGAGCATTCACATACTAAATTTTCTCAAAAGCTGCAGATTTTCTACATGTGTGCAGCACAGGAGGTCTGATGCATGCAGGAAGCAGATGGATGTGTTGCACATGCTTGAATCAACAGCCAGGCTGTTTATAGCAAGCACAGTGCTTCCTGGGTTTGAAGAGTTTAATACATACATGATGCTCACGTTATTAATGGAGACACAAAAATCTAAAGCTTTCAGGGAAATCCATCAAACATAACAGCTAAAGCTAAAGCAAGAAGTATTGGGGAATGTCATCTGCTTTGTTTGTCACCTGATGACAGGAAGATCCATCTCATTGGGTCTTGCAGACATTAATTCCTGCATCACCTCACATCAAATCTTTTTGGGACCCATCAGCATTGAAAAATAAAGCTATCCAAGGAAAGCTGAAAGCTATAAAGCTTTACAGTACTTAGGATGTCCCTACCATTGTTTTAGTGGATCTCTTCTGAATTTACTCTATAAAATCTCCCTGGACCTACTATTGTATTCCTCAGATATTTGTTGGGTTTAGAGTCAAGGAGACATAATTCAGGGAAAGTCCTATGCTGGCATTCAGAAAAAAAGTGTGTTAATTATCAAGCTCTTTCTTGGCAGGAAGCTAGGCAATACAGAAGTGATTTCCTGACAGCACCTTCAAAAGTATTTGTGGTTACTTCTAGTTCATCATGCTCTAGCACAAAGTGTTCCTTACGTGACCACCTCACCAATTGCATCAACACTAGAAAAGGATCATGAGATACAGGTTTGACAGGAGATATTTGGATTCAGGTGCTTACCATTAATAATCCTTTTCAAAATTTATGCCAGTTCTATCTCTTCAAGGAGAAACCATTTCAAAAATCTCCGTATCAATTGCCAACATTAATCAATTCATTTCACAGAAAGTGAACACAAAAATTAAAACTTGATTCAAATTCACTTAACGTGCTGGATTTTGGAAATTATTATTAATTAGTCAGTTTTTGTCTGTAAAGAATAAGCTTTAGACGGGAAATGTAGTGGTTGGAAAAGACGTTTAAGACCATTGTGTCCAACCATAAACCCAACACTACCAATTCCACCCCTAAACCATGTCCTTAAGCATCTCGTCTACAAGTCTTTTAAATACCTCCAGGGAACGCGACTCCACCACCTCTCTGGGCATCATGTTCTAATGCTTGACGATCCCTTCGGTGAAGAAGTTTTTCCTCATATCCAATCTAAACCTCCCCTGGTGGAACCTGATGCCATTTCCTCTCATTCTAAAATTGAGCATCTTTGATTTTAAATTCTGTTTCTTGTGATGCATGGAAATGTCCAGATTCTCCATTTCCATCAAAAAAAATACAAGCTGAGGGATTACGTTACTTGCCAAGGGACCAAAAGGAATCAAAGCAGAGAATTAAAAGCAGATCTCCTATAGCCTTGGCAGGTTCCTGTCCACAGAATCAACTTTTTCTTATCTAACCTCATCATCAGGCTACTGAGCACAGGGAAAGACATCACAACAGCACCAGAACAACAAAACAGCTTTCCTCCTTGCCTTTCCCAATATAAATTGCT